GTAACGATTGGTTGCTCAGATAGTGAGATAGACTTGAAACCGATTAACTTATCTCGTCAATCTGGAAAGCTGTTATAACAGCCAAAACCGTTCACAGGATTGTTAACAGAGGTTATTAGTCAAATGCTTAGCTGAGAAATTAACCTGTTAGCGGTTATACAATCAGATGGAACCATTGCTTATTGTCATCTAAAAATATTTTGTTTGGATGCTTTAAAATGCCAAAAAATCGTGTTTTTTGTAAAATTTTCCGACTACCCGTTCAATTTGTGAGCGTGCCGCCATTTTGATTGACAGCTCTGGACAGGTCCCTAGCCTAGTGATGCCGAGTAGGGTGTCAAGGATATGTAGTAGGAAACGCTAACATAGGCGATTACGTTTAACCGCAACTAAGAGGTGTGAATTAAGTTGCATTTGAACGTTTCTATGGGCCTTCCTCAGCAATCGAACAATTATACCTGGTAGCTTCTTTCCCTGTCATCGGCAAAGTGATCAGATGAAACTGTTTGTATCTGTTGAGAGAAAGTGGCCGTCACTCGTGTAAATACGAGTTTTGGACAGGTAACGCTGCAAGATTGTTTTAACACTTGGCAATTATCAGGTCAACGAAAAAAAATCCAGTGATTACTTCAGAGCGGTATCTCTCGAAATGCCACCTTAGCATGTTGAAAATCTCATCAAAGGATACCTTTTGCGGTGCAAACTCTTAAACAATTATTACATCCAATGTTAGATACTTTTTTGATCAATATAAACACACAAAAAACTCAAAAACATGACTTTAAGGCCATTTTACCCTTACTTTAATTTTTACAGTTAGTATAGTATTAAAGTATAGAATGAAAATGGCTTCACGAATTCTCTCAGGTACTTATAGAGGCATGGAAATGTTTTACCTTACACAAATAAAAAACATCGTTAACATCATTAACTTGGCGATCGATTGTGACACGAGGTTTTTGAAATACTTGTTGACCTTTCAGTTTTGCAATCTACCACTTCCACATCCACTGTAGCTAAATTCACTGGTGTGAGTCCATAACTTTAAGTAGGCCTACATAAGGTTTTGATCATGTGCTAAAGATATACATGTATATGCATTGCTTTCATTGTAGAGGAAGTGGTTTTTAAACAGTTGGCATGTGGTTACTGCTCATCATCCAAGTTTAGAACTTATCTATTAAGAATTTTAATATATAAATGAGGCCAATTTGCCCCAAAGCTAAAGAATAAAGTGGAAAATATCCAATTCCTTCCTCAGTTTTTCTGAAATACCTCGTCAACTATTAATTAATACATTTTACCATTGTCAAGATTTAAGCACAGCTTTTGAAGATTTTCAACATAACCAATCAGTTAAACCTATATAATAATCGATAACCTAGTTTCATATTGCTTATTTTTCTATATTTGGCAGACCAGAACATGGCAGGATTTAGAGAAAAAAGAAATCGCCTTTTTCATCATTGCAGTCATCAGTCTTTTAGCCTCGCTTGGTGTCGCCATCTACAGTGCAGCCACACAAACTGGACATGATTTCACTTTTGCACTTCTGATAATTGTGAATATCGGTCAGTAAACATGTATGAAGCATCTTTTACTTTTAGTACTGATTTGCATTAGAAAAATTCTGATATATAGTATTTACGTTGGGATAACAACTCTTCGTATGAAAATCAAAATTCTGCCATACACGTATTTGTAAACACAGATTATGGTAAATTCCGTCTTACCACATGAGCCGTAGCATTGGTCCGAAGGTTTAATAGTCCGAAGGTTCATTGGTCCGAATATTCACTATAGAACCTTCGGACCAATGAACCCTTGATTAAAAAATCGATGAAAATTTTACCACTTTTCGGACAAATGAACCTTCGGACTATCGAGACGCCCCCTTACCAAACAAAACAGCAGTTATTGCAATAGTTCCAGACATGAGGAAACTACCTGTCTGACAGGTCATGTCTGGCTGAAAAGCCAGAGGATCGACTATTTTAGAGAAAAAATAAATAATTCTTCTCCACTTTCAGGGTTCTGTTTTCTGTATGTAGTGGAAGCGGTTCCTAGAGAACGTCCTTATGAAACCTTCATATTTGTCATTGCCAATGTCATCATCATTGTGTACGTCTGTTCCAACTTTGCCATTACATACCCAGATATTGCTAATGGAAAAGATGATGTTAGGTTCACAGTTAAACTGGTAAGGGTTTGCCACCATTCACATAGAAACAAAACCCTGACACCTATCTTTTTAAACAAACATTAATTATATTGAAATTTCCTTTTTTTTTATCGAGTGATGCTCTCTTGTTGGAAATTGAAACGTGAATTATGGTGTAATACTTAAGTGAAAAATGAACAATACTTATAAGTACTAATAGAATTTTCATCACATTTTCAAAGTGAGGATTATGGGCAAATTGTTGCTCAAAAACAATTTTTTTTGCTTTAGAATACTCGAAAAAATTAATAATCTCACCCATATTTTACCCCTTGTTATTCAGGTACGGCTCATATTCACCGTTATCCTGGTCCCGTTGAATATATATTTAGGCCTCTGGGTGTCGTACACATATTTCCAGTCAGGGAACTTGATACTCAGAACAGTTGGAGCCAGTGAGGCCTTACAGAACTCCTGCAAGACTCTGTTCTTTACGGATACAGTTCTCAAGTTTGATGTCCAGATGGCTGTGAGTGCCCAGTGATTGCATTATGCCAAATTGATATTGTTCTTTGTTTTATTATTTATTATTTTTTGCTATATGTTACCACAGTAAAAGTTCAGTCTCAATAACATTACCTTGAATATAAACTTCTACTAAATTTTTCATAATTTCATCTGATATGTGTCGTTTGACTGATGGCAAAACAACATGTGGGCAATATTTATCTGAATGCAATTAATTGATCAAAATTTTTTCTATCTGAATGTAATTAACTGAAATCAAAATGATTATTGATGAGAATTTATCAGAATTTATATTATATATTGCAGTCTTGTTAGACAATCAGCCAATCAGTCTATTTCTTCTTATTTATTTATTTATTTATTTATTTATTTATTTGTTTATTTATTCCAGTCAAGTTTGCTGATACTCATTCTGAAGGATGGCCATACAACGGGTACGCTAGGGATCTGTGTCCTGACCATAGGGTTTGTCTTCACTGTGGCTTGGTCACTACTGGGGTATATTGCTGTAAGTGCTTGCACACACGAACACACATACACACACACACACACACTGTAACGTATTACACACACACACACACATGCACATGCACACGCACAGTCAGGGCTCGATATAGCCCTTTGATCTGACAATTTATGAAAAGAACGCTGGAAACTTCATTACTGTTGGTTAGTAATGGTTATACCGTTTACTCTGCTGCTTTCTTAAAATTAAAAAAAGAAAAACTGTATCTACCAAATTATTTTCAGTAGCTTGTTCTTGCAGTGCCTCTCTCAGGCTCAAATTGTGAAAATTAAGAGTGCACAAAAGTTCTGTCATATTCTGCAAGAGTCAGCAAGGCCAGTTATTCTTTTAGATATTCTTTAATTTGGAATGTAACAAAATGAAATAAACACAATGAAAGTATCTTGTAATTTGTTTAGTTTATCTTGAAATAATTACATACATTTTTCATTTTGCACAAAAACATTTCCATAGAAAGAAATCAGTTGATTATATCCCAATGTGGGGCAAGTGAAATCTTTGAGGGGCTAGTGAAAATTGAGCCATACTTGCCCACTGGGTAAATTTGAGTCTGAAATTGAATTTCGAGGCCTGACAGTTATATTTTACACTTGCCTTACACTGTAGATATGTGTAATAACAACAGGGCTTTCTTTTACTATGGGCTGGATTCCACTGGGATATTTTGCTATACTAGTAAATGAACATACTAATGCAAACCTATGAACATTCAGGAAGATATTATACTGTAAGGGTGCATTCCCAGAGATTTGGATCGATCCAGAGATTTAGATTTAGATCGACCTAACTCCCTGGGGGTTCACGCTAAATTGCAGTCAGCCGAGCGCGCACCATAGTTAATTACCCCCTTTCAGCTTTTAGTAGACGGGACAGACGCTTAAGCCAGCTAAGCTGACAGTAATCTAGTGAGACTCCCCGCAGGGATAGATCGATCTAAAATCTATGGGAATGGGGTCTAAGGAGAGAAGAGGGTGCACATGTACACCAATGCTATAATCACCCACATATGTACTAGTAGGGCCTAGGGATAATTTTGCAGTGCATCTCCATTACTGCCATAAATGTACTATTTTTGGTGTATTATAGTTGATTTATTTATATCCTCATCTTCGTTTTAGATGAGATATGAAAACAAGATTCTAACATTCATTTTTTTCACGACGTCTGTATTTGAACCAGGCTACATTATTTTCAAAGTATACCAGGTATGTAAATGCAGAGTTTGTGTGTGTGGGGGGGTTGGAACACATATGGCCCCGTGGTGCCCCTGGCAAAATTTTTAAGTTAAATGTGGTAATTTTTTAAGCCCTTGTACCCCACTCTATCCTTGGTAAAATCATGAATTGAGTTTGTTACCAATACTGAAGTTATTTTCAACCAGTAACAGAAATGAAAAAAATAAATACAATCAATGAATTTGCTTTGCTTAAGTTTGGAAAGCATGAATCTATCAAATGTCTTCAAAAAGTAACTGTCCACAGTTTGCAAGTCAGCATCATTATGGTTGCTAAGTGACCCCAACCGATGTTGACAGTTGGCATGACAACTCCACCCAGCCACTCCCCTTTCCTTACTTTTGATAGGCTATACTTAAATTTATACTACTTCAAGGTGTTGATTTTGTCACGTAACATGCTGCAAAACATTTTTTCCTTTTCTCTGTGTACTCTAAACAAGCAAACAAAAAAGAAATAATAAAATATTTGTTTTGTTTATTTAAGGCAGCTACAGATGTGGCTGATGAAAATCAAGAACCAGACACCAGTATAGACGCAGTGACATTCGTAGGCGCAGGCTTGGCGCTGATAGTGCGCGTCATTTTGCTGGTCTTCTGTTACAAAGTGTACAGAAATTATGGAGTTGGGCTCAAAGAAAAAGGTAACAAATGAAAAAGATGTTCTAGGCCACTAGTTCCAACTTAAAATATCTTTGATATATATTTAGTGTTTAAGTTGAGTGGACGTGTGTGTGTGTGTGTGTGTGTGTGTTGACTTCATCCCCCACCTATTTACACACACACATATGTAATGGTATATATTACCAGTTGGAAATATGCAACTCAATAAAATAAAGATATTTGTCAGCGTACCACCTCACACATGTGGCTATAGTATAAAGTTGTCTGATTGATAGATGCCATTTTTTTTAATTGTGTGATTGATAGGTGCCAGATTGAAGTTGAGATTAGGTGTACACAACACCGTATTCAGTGGCACACCATTAGTGATAAACCACACTAAATTGTATATGTATATTTTTTATTTAATAACATTTAAACTAAAAAACCCACAGGATATAAAACCACTAAGGAAGTACAGAATAACAGCAATGTCATATTTATATAGAATAAATAGTTTTATTTGAAGGGGCAGTATACAGGAGTTTCATTATTATAGATACAACTATTTGAATATGAAAGCTTGACAGAGACACATAGTTCCTTGAACTAATCGAATGGCCTTGTGTTTGAAATGACCACCTCTGGATATTAATTGTATTGGTTCGACCCCGCCCTGGGACATACCAGTCCTTAATGAATGGTGCTTGCTGCCTCCCTCCCTGTCTACTGCCCCTACACATGTACCATAATTTGCTTATGATTATATAATTTGTGTGCAATCCTGTATACAGTCTCCTTAGTCATTGATTGTGGCTTCTGTTGTGGTTTCTAAACTAACATGGGCTCATGTGGTTGTATTTTCAGTATTTATAAAGCCCTTTTGGCACTCCCCTTACCCCCCTTTGAACCCTGGGGAGAGTACTAAGACGTACCAATGCCTCAAACTAGCGACTGAGTCGTCACCAGAGACACAAGGTGCTTACTAACAAGACAGTGACTTGTGTATGGATATGGCTTTAAGTTCTGCTCATACAATACCATGACTACTTAAGATTGGATACCTGACTCGCCTTGAAAACCATAGTCTGGTTGTACCCTCTACCAGGCGACAGACTGATTTTCCACAGATATTCACAGATATGTCTCTAGATAAATAGACGGTCATTTTGGTCTGTTGCCAAGCTTTTTTTTTCTTGTGCTCATGTGAAATCTTTGCATATAACTGCAAATGTATATTTTGATTGTATGGAATTTTTGTACAGTTCATTTTATCCAAGCTTAGTTATCATTATTTTTATCGCTCTCCATATATTTTAGAAATCCAGTTTTTTTTTCAGATTCTGAAAGAATTACCCTTTCAGAGTTTCCATGGACTTTTTTGCTGTACAATTACAATTATTTGATATTATTTTTACAGTATTGTAAGGCAGACCTGTAAACATGAAATGGTAAAAAAAGCTCTTGCAAGAGACTTAATGCCTATATTAATATATGATATATTACTTATGTTCCTGTTTTGTTCTAATCTCTTAAGCTGATTTTAATATCAAGAAGAAATTTTCATCAATTTTAAGATATGATGATTTTGTTGTTAATATTTGGTGTTTTATGTTTGTTGGGAAATCTTTTGGGGACCATTTGAGATCTCATTTATGTGACTTTATAAAGATGTATTATATTTAACATGATTTCTTTAATTACAAAATATTTTAATGCAATTATGGGTAAGTGTGTGAGAAAAGGTGCTGCTGAACTTGTTATATTGTTCAATATTCAAGACTGTGCAATGCAATCTTTTATGCTTTTATTTTCTTTGTAATTGACTGGTTATTGCTACACAATGTGTATGATTTATCATCATAATTTGTAATAGAAGTAATTTAAAAATAATGTAAAAAAAATATGTGCTGCAGATTTTTCTAGTTATATTACTTAGTTGTGATTTTTTGTGACAGATCCAGTAAATTGTTTTGTCCATATGGTTAAGTTGGAAAATAAAGTTGTGGTCATTATGTTAAACGTAATTTTGTCAAATTAATAAATTATGTGTATTCTATTTGTTAAAAAGTGTAATCGTGCATCATACTATGCGACTGTATATTTGTCAAAGTGCAAGTTCACAAAATGCAAATATGTGTAGTTATAAAGTTATACATCTATACATACAAACAGCTGTATCATAAAAATACACATTCCCAATTCAATCTTGAAATCCTTGCCTTTAGATGTGATAAATAAATATACATCATATAAATCTATAATAAATATCCTGATTATTTAATCTATTTAGCTTTTTTTTTTTTCATATAGTATGGATTTCATTCATGCAAAAGCCAGAGCATTAGATCTATAAAGTGCAAGGGATCTTTTGACAACATTTGCTGGAGGAATTTTCAATTTATAATCATTTTACTTTCGCCTCATTGAACAATTACAGAAAATTAAAAATGTACTAAATGGCCCCTTTTCGCAAGGCTTATTTTCACACTGCTACTGCTCTGACATTGCCATTGCAAATTACCACTTTTTTCAAAGATATTTTGGACAGGGCTGTTTAGATGTAAGCTGAAAAGAAAGGCATACAAGTAGGTTATTTTGATAACTGACTATTGTGATTTTGAGCTGTGATTTTTTGATTACGAATACCAAAATCTCGAGGCAGGGATAATTTTTCCTTTGCACTTGGCATTATATGAATATACCAAACCTTTATTCAAAGAGGCAACTTCATAAGGTAAATTTTAAGTTGAGGAACTCGTATCAAGAAAAGGTCGTCAATTACAATCCATACGGTAGCAAAAACCTATAATAAATAACAGAGGAAATTTATATCTGGAATGACGAATAGATTGGTTTCAAGGAATCAAATCTTTAAAAAATTGAAGCAGAACAAATTTAAGAATAAATTTGAAATAGCAAAATTTTTAATTTATACAAATTGAATTTGTAGATTTTTGTTTTGGAAAAGCTTCAGGTATGTTTCTTTCATTAGCATTTTAACTTGTTAAATTCCATTATATGTGACCTACATACAAGAGATGGATACAGGGTCTTTTGTAGTTTAGGAGGAGAAGCGGTAACGGTGCCCTGAGTGTCAGAGTCACTGTGTCACCGTTTTGCTGATATGGGTTATATATGAAATCAAGATCGAGCTGGCAAAACTGAAATCTAGAACCTAGGGAAGGTAACGGTGACGTGGCGTCGGAGCTGGCGAACGATACGGGTCGGGACTAAAACCATGTGCACCGCCAGTGACGCGCTATTGGTACAATAATTTTTTCACATAACAAACTCAACAAACTCAGAATCACACGCAGGACTACCCAACCACCAGACTCGGCACCGAATGATCATGAATTCACCGGTAGATCGGACCAAAATACCCGTTTTCAAGGTGTGTATCAGTACGCGCTTCGAAGTATCAGACGCGACGGATTGTAAAATGACATATTGAGGATTGTAAAATACAAAACTTAACAGCTGCCGCACCGCAACTGGTTCGGCAACTGGTCCTCATTTCCCACCTTTTGAGGCCTTTGCTTTCATGCGTTAGTACAGCTATTTCATATCAGAATCCTCAACAGGAGTGCTAACGCATGAATTTTCGTGCTAGAAATATTGATGCGACAGATTGATTTTTTACAGATATTCACAGATATATGTCTCTAGATAAATAGACAGTCGTTTGGCTCTGTGTCTGGATTTTTCCGCCTTTCCCTATATAATCTGCCACCCTGGTAGAGGGGATAATAGGGGAGACCGGGGCTAGTTGGACCCCGGGGTAAGTTGGACCCCCATCAAGTCTGTTTAAAAAAGTTACTTTAAGATGCTAAATTGGACTCACTGCCTACGCTTTATTAGCACTATTGGATACGGCCACTTTACAAAATGATGTGATCAATTATTTTTACCCCATAGTTACTTTGTCATAAATTGATGGGGGGTCAACTTACCCCGAGGTCCAACTAGCCCCGGTCTCCCCTAGTTGCATGAATGACGCAGGGTTGCTTGACTGCTGTGAACCGTAGGCTAGGTTGCTTGCAGACGCATGCTGAGCAGCACCTGATACAGTATTATTTGAAGGAGGGGTCCGCAGATGCGAAGCACGCCTACTGTACAATACATGCATGCATGTTATGAGTACAGTCAGCGGCAGTCATCTAGACAACTATTGAAAGAAAACTCAGAGACTTCTCATGGAATGGGAGAATTAAAAATGTTAACACTTTACAGAGATCCCCCCAAAAAGTTATTTTTCATAAATGCCTTGGGTTTGGGCAACTGACCCCCCCCTCCTTTCCAAAAATAATACAATAAAATAAATTATAATACACTCTCGGGTCCTGGTGGTTAGCTTGATTCAGTAATGATGCTTAATATTTATACACTTTTAACACAACTTAGTTTCAAGTTCCAGTTTTTTTTTTTGTTTTTTTTTTTTGAAGTGAGTGCAGTTTTACAATTACATTTAAAACTAAAAGTGTTTCTTATCGGTTCGTGCACATTTAGATGCATATTCTCAACTTTAACTTTGTCCAAATATGGGTTCTGAAACTCTCGCTGACAGTTGGTGAAAGACATTCCAATTCCAGTACCTATTCCCTAGGTCAGGGGCCAGGCATGTGGTCCTGGATAAAGAAAAAAAATAAATTACATGCATTATCCATACAGATATAATCTTTTGGACACTGCATAATCCAAAGTCTACCCCAGGTAACAGAAAGTTTACAGTTTGCTTTAAAACATATGCTTTTACTTCATAGATATTTAGTAGAAAGGTGCTACTGCTCGTATTTTTTGAGCTTGTATGTTGGAAATTGAAAACTCTATTTCCTAGTCATAAAATACTAATATTGAATAGGCCTACTACAATTGCCTCATGTGTCAAAGAAAAAGATGCAGTCCAGATGACCAGGCAAACAGCTGCCAACAACTTCCCTCTGCAGTGAAGCAGTGAAGAAGGCGAGTACACTTTCTTGAAGAGACAAGCTCGTTTGTGAGAAAAATCAATACCCCCCTTCCCCCACCCCACCCAAAAAAAATGACACCGGGAACAATACTTACTTAACTTACTATACTTACTTACTTAACTTACTATCTCGAGCGCTCGACTTACTCGAACGCCCCGACTTACTGACTTACCCGAGTCAGTAAGTTGGGCGCTCGAGTTAGTGTAAGTCGGCGCTCGAGATAGTAAATCGAGCGCTCGAGATAGTAAGTCGAGCGCTCGAGATAAAATTTTTTTTTCATTGACCCCTGCGGGGCTCCGTAAACGTGTTTCATCAGCTGTTAAACAAAACGTAGAATCTATTGATAAAAACTCCAATGTTGACAAAATGGCGTTTTTTTCTCCGAGATATGAATATATTAAGGAGCTCGAGAGACAAGCGAAAAAAAATTGTGATGGGAATGGCTAAATGAGAAAATTTAAGCGAGGATTGATTGCATGATTTAAAAAACGCATGTTAGCGGGATTGCATTTTGCGATGTTTGGAGAAAAAGTATTTCAAAATCGCTCATCAAGCGGGCAGAAAGGGTCCAAAATGTAGGGAAAGGATGGAACTCACAAAGAGACCACGAGAATAGTCAAGTCTAATCAGGTATAAAGCATTATAGTGTGGTGTGCGTAAAAATAAAATATGCCTAATTTCCAAACCTGTTACTTGCATTTAATCTTTCATATACAAATAGGTACCAGGTGCCGTGACAACATTCCTGCATCGTTACCTGTCTCGCCTCGATTCCATAACTCGCCTCTTGATTCCATAACTCGCCCATACTCGCCCCATATGGAGTTATGGAATCGAGACTCTTGCGCTCGGTCGCAATGAGCGATGCTTTCGAGTTAAGGCGCCCGGGATTCGAACGCAAACCGTGCGACTGCTTACCCAACTGAACTATCGAGCCCGGCCAGTCACTACACCTCCCCCCCCC